AATTTGTACTTTGGAGATTTTTTTTATTATTTTTTAATTTTTTTGGATAATTAATCAATCTCCATTGAGTTAGAAAAAAAGACAAACGTTCCTGTCACACCACTGTGACATTTTGTGTCAAGTGTTCAAATCAGTTCCAATAAAACTAATTCTCATGCACTTACTTTAATAACATTAACAAAATATTATTTTGTACGGCAATTTTTTAAAATAAAGTAGCCTGAATGTTTTTATGGTTTTCCGTTGGATGCGCACACTCAGTATACGTAACTTGCAGGAAACTTGGTAACAAGTTGGCCCAAATACTTACTAAATATTGTAAGTATCAGGTAAGTACCCTGTAAATACCTAGTACATGTATCTTGTAAGTACATGGTGTCTGTACTTTGTACACACTTACATACCTTCTAGTACTTCAGCATGGGATACATAAGGCAGTTGGTACATATTCCATAGCAGATACTTACATTGTGAGTAAGGATCCGGTACAAACCCTGTAGTATTGAGTATGTATGTATTCATACTTAAATACGTGTGTAATTTGGGACACAACCATTTGAGCCTTTAAAGGTTACATGTAAGATTTTAAAATAAGTCGGGGGAATGGTGGACAGAATTATTTATTTATTTATTTATTTATTTATTTATTTATTTATTTATTTATTTATTTATTTATTTATTTTTGTAGTCTCGCTGCATCAATTTGAACATTTCAAAGTGACTGGAGGAGTCCATGATGTTGTTTGAGTTAACAACATGTGCAAACACCAAACAATGCTTGATTCTTGCTTAAAAATCAAGATTTGAATCCGATGTAACTCCTGCTAACCCAGCAGGCTGGATTATGGATTATGGATTATAAGAATGTGTTTTTAACTGAGGGAGACCGGACGCTGTGTGCAGCTTCACATCAGGATACTTTTGTTACAAAGGGTCCCTGAACGCACCGCCTGTTTGATAAGCAACAGCTGGCAGCGCGAGATCCAGCTGCTGGTCCCACGTGAGAAACGGTCGCGCGCTCGTGTTTAACGCACAAGTCAATCAAAAAGCAAATCAAACGTGAAACATTGATCTCCTCATTAAAAACGATTGATGATTTAACTGAATCTATCACGTCCTGCACGTCTGTCCGCGAGGCGCTCTGCGGGTGCGAGTTTGAGCGTTTTGTCCCTCGCTGCGTGCCGTAGTTCGCTGAGCAAACATGGCGTCGCTCACGAGCAAGATGTTTCCTTCTGTAGGTCGAATAAATATTGGTCGTTTGGGGCTTAAATCGCCGAGCAGAGTCACGTACGTCACAAACCTGTCTTCAAATGTTTCCTCGGAGAGAAAAGGTGAGTTTAATCAACAACAAAAATAATTTCCTGCTGATTTACGACAAAGGATGAGTTCCTAGCATGGTTTGCAGGTTTTTCACAGCACCTCTTCCTCTGCCCACATAAAGCACCTACTGAAACCTGGCGACGAATAAATTAACTTTAAATTTATATTGTTAGATAAGGATTCTTGTGTACTTTGTAGTACAACTCATTATTTGTTCAAACCTTGGTGGTTATGAAGCACGATGTAGTCTTTTGTGTTATTTCGCGTTAATGTTTACAAAAGTAAACAAGACGAAGATTACAAAACCTAATGCAGCAGCCATGCATACAGCTGTGGACAGATGTGAAAACAAGCAGCTGCAGGTGTTTTGTTGTCGTCACTGATCTCTGCTGTGGTTTGTTGGAGCAGCAACACCGACACCAACAGTTCAATCAGTTCATTAAATGATGAGCTCCATTATCGTCTCCAAATAAAACAGCTGTTGAAGCTGTGGTGCAGAGAGGCTGACCCGTTTTATACGGGCTTATAGGAAGTCCTGGCCCGAGCCAGCACGTGAC